TTGGAAGGATCCTATGGTGATTAATTTTGTCGATGATTTTACCTATGTGGTTCATTGTAGTATTGAAATTCTACATTACAACTGCTTTGCTTGTTTTGTCTATGCCTCTTCTTCTTATATTTCTAGAATAATTTTATGGGAGCTTAATAAATTTTATGACATAGTTAATTCTCCTTGGTTGGTGGGTGTGGATTTTAATACTATTTCTTCCCCTACTAAGAGACTTGGGGGCTCTAGGCCTCTTTATCAATCCATGGAAGATTTTAATAATATGATCCTGGGTTACAACCTCATTGATATTATTTACATTGGTTGTAATTTTATTTGGAATCATGTTAATTTCTGGAAAATGTTGGATCATGTGTTTTTCAATGATAACTTGGTAAAATCCTTGACGCATGTTGAACACCTTAGTATAACCTTACGAGACCACTTTCCATTACTTATTATCTTACAAATGAATTTACTTACCTCTCCTTTAAACTTTAGATTTTAGAATATGTTTCTTCTTGATTTTTCCTTTATTAATGTTGTAAAAGAGAACTGGTAAGCTCCTGTTCATCCAGACAACTCAATTTTTTGCATGAATAGACTAAGGCCTAAGTTGAAAAGGTTAAAATAAAAAATAAATTGGTGGAATAAGAATGTTTTTAGAAAATTTTTCACTATTATTATTTTTGTGAAGGATAAAGTTAACTCCTTGGAGTATATCTATCAACATACTCCTTCTGATGATTATTTTACTCTATTACAACAAGCCAAAAACTTTCCTTTTTTACTTATAAACCCATGATGAAGCTTTTTAGAAATAGAACTTTGAAACATCTTATTGATGGGGACAACAATACTACATACTTTCATGTTTTAGTTAAGATGAATAGAGCTAGAAACTGGATTCATAAAATTAACATTTTTTATAGTTCTTTTACTAATGATGCTGAAGCAATTGCCTATTATAGTATGGAATTCTTTAAAAGTTTGTTTAATAAAAATTTCATTCTTGCTCTTATTAACAAGCCAAATATTATTCCTTACATCATTAACCAGATTGATAATTTGGCAATTACTTCTTCTTCGACTTTGGAGGAAGTGAAGAAGATGGGGTTTGATTTGAATACTGAGTCATATGCTAGTCCAAATGGCTACACCACTAAATTCTTTTAGAAAAACTTGGGATATTCTTAAGACTGATCTTTTTAATTCTATTTTGATTTCTTTCCTAGTTATATTATGCCTAATTTCTTCTCACCCACCACTATTGTGCTGATTGCAAAAAATAATGGAGCTTGTACATGGAATAAATTTAGACCTATAAGTCTCTGTACAATCTTTAGTAAGTTGATCGCTAAGTTGCATATGAGCTTCCTTTCTCATTTACTTCCTAGAATTATTGCTTCTACCCAAATTGGTTTTATCCAAGGTAGATCGATTTTGGATAACATTTTATTAGCTCAAGAACTTGTGCCTGATTTGTATGTTAGGGTGCCTGGGGGTAACATTATTTTTAAATTGGACATCACCAAAGCCTACGATAACATTAATTGGGACTTTCCTTACCATGTTTTATTATTTTTTTCTTTAATACTATTTTTACGAACCATATTAAATAGTGTATTGAAAATACCTTTTTTATGTTATTTTTAATTATAAAAGTAATGATTTCTTTAACTCCTCTCATTGTTTGAGATAAGGTGATCCTATGTCTCCTTCTCTCTTTATTATTACTATGGAATATTTATCTAGTGGCATTTCCAATATTTATGAGAATTATCCTAGAAACTTCTATAGAACTTTAGGTGGGTTTACTATTTCTTATTTTTTTTTACAGATTATGTTATCATTTTTTTGAGTGCTTCACTTAACAGGATTAATAGAATTATTAGTTTTTTAAATTAATTTAAAAGTTCTGGTGGTCTTTGTTTTAATAAAAATAAGAGCTATTTTATTATACCTAAAATTTTTCTCATGATCGGAAGATTGCCATTAAGAATAGTACTTATTTTTTTAAAAGGCTCCTTACCTCTTAAATTCCTTGGGGTTCCTCTTTACAAGTGTATTAAAAAGACATTTCTTTTTTATGATCATATTTCTACCATACAAAAAAGCTTTATTCTTGGAATTCTAATTTTCTTAGTTTTAGAGGTAGGCTTACTCTTATCAAAAGTGTTTTGTGTTCTTTACCTGTGTATATTTTTCAAACTTTGCAACCTAACCATGCTATTTGCAATAGGATTGAGAAATTATTTAATAAGTTCTTTTGGTGTGGTTCTAATGTCAATTCTAAAATTATTTGGTCCTCTTGGGGTGTGCTTGAAGAAGGGACCTTGGATTGCAAGATTATGTGGGATTTATCTTATGCTTTTTCTTATAAACTGTGATTTTATTTTTTTTCCAAACTTTATCTGTGTACTAAGTTCATAAATAAAAATTAATATGTTGCCAGCATCCTAGTACATGCTATTATATTAATAGGGACTCTAGGGTGTGGAAAAAGCTTTATATTATCAAGTGGAGTGCAGAACCTCATGTTAAATGGGATCTGAATAATGCTAAACTTTTTTTTTTTTCAAGATTAGTGGCTTGAAGATTGGTCCATTTACTCCTTTATTTCTTTGTCCTACATGACCACTACTAAAGTAGATGCTTTAACCATCAATAACAATTAGGATTATAATAAACTAGTTGACATCATTCTGGAAACAGTTATTGCTAGAATTTTGAATGTAATTATTAATATTTATTTTGAGGATTTATTATTATGTAATGTATCTTAAAATGGTATGTTTACCTTAAAAGATGCTTTGCATGTATTAAAAAAGAAGCATTGTGTTAAGAAGGTTTACCCTATGATTTGGCATAAGAGTATTCCTAAGACTATTTTTGTTTTTATTTGGGGAATCATGCATAAATATATTCTTACTGATGACAATTTGAGAATGATTGGTTTTATTTTAACTTCTTAGTGTGAATGGAGCTTTCCTGATGAAAATATGCACATGTATTTATTTCTAGTCGAATTGCTATTAAAATTTGGTATTACTTTGATGTCATTTTCAAGTTAAATCAGTTTAGTGCTTATATTTCTATTAACACTTTACTTTATTCATGGTTCATTAACTTTAAAGGGCTTATTAGAAATGTTAATCCATCTTTAATTTTGTGGTTTTGGTGGCTTGCTAGAAATAATTCTATTTTCAATAATTATAATATGGATTCTCACAAAATTATTAGGAACATTTAAGATAAAATATGCAATCTTTTCTTCACCAACCTTTTGACTTCAAAAAACTTCAAGCATTACTTTTTTATTGCTCATAATTTTTGTATATCCCTCCACTATAAAATACTTTGGATGAACCTAAGTTGATTTAGTGGATCAAACATTCCCATGATATTTATAAATTAAATGTTAATGGGGCAATGAAAAATGGTCCTTTTGAGTGTAGTGGAAATATTAGGGATGAGCAAGGGAAAATGGATATGGGTTTTTCCACCCCGTTGATGAAGTGGTCAATGGTGATGGCTGAGCTCTCTACTATTTTTGATGGTGTTAAAAAGAAGTTATAGTTCTTTTGCTGAAATCCTTAATAGCAAGTTTAATAGATCCTTGAAAGCCTTATACTTTTGGAGTAAAGCAAAACTCAAAGATCTCAATGAATTGAAGGAATGTCTTAAGAAGAACATTTATGAATTACAAATGGAGGAAGCTTCTATTTGTTTTCTATCTGATCATAAGATCTTACTTTTAAGATCTAAGGTGAATGAGCTTAACTGCACTTTGGCACAGTTGAATACTTGGTGGAGACAGAGAACAAAGATCAATTAGGAGAAGAATGGAGATAAAAATACAAGATCTTTTTAGACTTATGCCAATGGTAGAAGGAACAGGAATTGGATTTCGAAAATCAAAATTGAAGATGGAATTGAGGTTGAAGAGCAAAAGCTGATTGAGAATATTTTTGTTGATTATTTCAGTCATAAATGGCTGTTGAGAGAATGTAAATTAGAAGATTGGCCACCTAGCTTATCTGTCCTGGATATAGAGGATAGTAAGAAATTGGAAGCTGAACTCACGGTGGAAGAGCTTAATGAAGATGTTAAAGGATTGAAGAGATTTAAATCTCCAGGATAGATGGTATATCTTATTCCTTCTTGAAGAATTATTGGTCCATTATTAAAAATGATACTTGGAATGCTGTTCAGCATGTTTTTTCTATGGGAGACATGGACCTGAGATGGAAAGAGACTGTTTTAGTGCTCATTCCAAAAATTGAAAATCCTGCTTTGACTTCTCACTTCAGACCGATCAGTTTTTGCAAATCAATTTATAAATTAATTGCAAAAATTCTTTTAAATAGAGTGCAAGGCTTGATTCATAGTCTCATTTCCAATGAACAAGTTGCTTTTTTGAAGGGAAGGTCAATATCTCAACATATTCTTATGGCTCAAGAAATGTTTCACAGATTCAGATTTTCTAAAGCTTCAAAAGGGTTGGTTTCATTCAAGTTTGATATGGAGCAAGCTTACGATAGCATGGGTTGGCTGGCATTGGAACAAGTCTTGAGGTACTTTGGTTTTCCTTGTAAATTCTCAAAGTTAATCATGGATTGTGTGGTGGATGCTAAGTTCTCTGTTTTGATTAATGGCAATTATTCTAAATGGATAACGGCTCAGAGTGGGTTTCTTCAGGGATGTCCACTCTCTCCATTTTTATTCATTTTATGTTCTCAATTACTTTCTAATACTTTGATTAATAAAGGAGACTTGGTGGGAATCAAAGTACATTCTAGTATTCCTAGAAGTTCTCATTTGTTATATGCAGATGATATTATTATTTTATCTGAAGCTAGTATTAAGATGGTTAAAGAGGTTAGAAGAATAATGGTGGATTTTGTGAGTGGACGGGCCAACATATAAATTACAATAAATATGTAATTCTATTTGGTAAAGTAGTGAAGAAGAAGAAAAGGATAAGCTTTGCTTGGATTATGGGACTTAAAATGGTGAAGAAGATGACTTATTCGGGTGTGAAGATAGCCATGAGAAGGTTAGTTTGTACTGATTTGCATGGTTTATTGGATAAATCATTAGAGAAAATCAATATTTGGGGAAACAAGTTTCTGTCTTTGCAAGGAAGGATAACTCTTATTAAATCTGTTATATCAGCTTTTCCAATCTTTCAATTGACTCATGCTCTTGTTCCTAAAAGCATTCTTGCTGATATTGATAAATTGTGTTGGACATTTATTTGGCATATACAAGATGGTAAAGAAGGTATTCATTATGTTAATTGGGAAGTTTTGTGTAAACCAATTGAATTTGGCGGGAGAGGTATTCATTCTTGTTCAAAATATGTTGGCCCGAAAAGAGCTAAGCTGACTTGGAATTATTTGAATGATAAAGATTGTTTGCTGCGTAAAATTCTATCTTTAAAATATGGATTGACTACTTCAAATTCTGTTAAAAAGAAATCTACTGCTTGGAAAATTATTACAGATGGTGCCAAAGCTCTTGATAAGATTACAAGATGGTGAATCGTTGATGGGAGATCTATAAATGTGTTAAAAGACACTTGGATTCTTGATAAAAGTATCATGATGTGGAATACTTTTGTTTCTATATTTCTGGAACCTGATATGTTAGTAGAAAATTTGATTACTAATGGTACTTTGAGTCTGGATATTCTGAGAAAAAATTTCAGTGAAGACATAGTTCAGCTGATTAACAGAATTAGTATTCATTCTTTTGAACAGGGTGATCAGGTGGAAATGATAAATCAAATGTCTCGTAATACCATTTCTTATCTAGCTTCTAATTCTATGTTTTGTAAAGATTCTTCAAATATGTATTGGGGATGGATTAGAAAACTTAAATTGAATTCTCGGGTTGAGAATTTCTGGTGGAGGATTTACCACAAGGTGATTCCAACTTTCAATTTTCTTCTCCATAGAAGATTGATAGAATCTGATTTTTGTCCGAGAGGATGCTTGAAGGCTGAAGATTATGAGCATGTTGTGGTGGGATGTTCGAAATTAAATCGGATTATTCATATTCTTAACAAATGGGAATTTGCTATCTCGATCTTTGATAGGTTTGATGAATGCTATATTTGGTTGAATCAATGTGTTTCTAAGCATATTGTGTTGGGAAATATGTATTGCACGTTGGTTTTCTTATCTTGGAAATCTAGAAGCAAAGTTGTTTATGGTTATGGTGAAGACAGTAAAGTGTTTATTGCTTCTAACACTATTACATTGTCTTCTATTTCAACAAATTCAACTCTTTTTAAAAAATCATCAGGAATCTGGGATGTCAATCAGTCTGATGGACTGTTAAAAAATTCTTGGCATCCTCCACCTCCTTATCGGATAAAAGTGAATGTGGACGTGTGCTTGTTATCATCATACAAGACTTCCATTGGAGGATTATTCAAAGATCACAAAGGAAGGTTTTTATGTGCTTTTGGGTTCAATGGGATTCATTGGGACGTGAATCAACTCGATTTACTTGCTGTTCAATCCCTCAACCGGTACTTACAAAAGTGGATGTTTGAGTACAATGGTATTATAGTTGAAGGAGATAATGAAAATGTTGCCAAACATCTTCAAAAAGGTTACAATCTACTTGAAGCTGTGGATGACCGCAATGAGGTACCTTATGGTTTGAAAGATTTCAATTTTCTTATGTTTAATTGGGTTGATGGAGGTTGTAATAAGTTAGCCGACTTGTGTGCTAACATTGCTTTGAATCATGATTCTATTTGGGATGATATTGCTTTTTGTAGTATTCCTACTCCTTTTTTAAGAGTTTTAAAGGAGGAATACGATGATATTGGTAGGTTGTAATTTGCTTTCTTTTAATAAATTTTCTTCGGTATTTCTTCAAAAAAAATAAATTAGGTATTTCGCTTTGTATTATTATTATTTTGATTGAGGTGGATACCACTTCTAATATAAAATATATTTTGAAGAAAATGGAAAGTATTTGCATCCTAGATCATTTTTACCTTCTTAGAGAAATTAATCAGCTCTTAACCGTTGTTAACTTTATGATTACACATGTTTATAGGGAAGGTAATTCTTGTGCTATTTTTATTGTTAATTTGGGTTTCAATTTGAATTATCTTACAGATTTCACTGATAACAATTTACCTGATTTAGTGAAAGCTATGATTAGGTTGGATAAAATGGGTTTACCTTATGTTATAATTTAGTTATATTTTGGCTCTATCATTCCTTGGCTATCTTTTTCTTATGGTTTATCATAATGAGCATGGCTCTACTTTATCTTGTCTCACTATTTCTTGGCTTTTTTCTTTGGAGTGTTTTTTGTTTAACAAAGCCTGGTGTTTTAGAGCTAGGGGTTTGAATTATGATTAGAATTATATGTACTCTAATTTTTTTATGAAAAAATGCAGCAAATTGCATTAAAATAAGAAAAAGGAATACAACCTACTGAATGAGAACATTAGGTTCCTCCTTTAGCATAGGCGAAAATTAAGGAGGAACCTTATTCATGCTAAACTTGTCCCAAACAAAAGAACTAACAATACCATAGTTAGTACATAGATCAGCTAACTTATTGCCCCTTATATCTTTGTAATTAAAAATTACATTATTGAACCCATTGAGTAAATGAACATCATCATACCTTGGTTCTCCACTTTTCTTGGCTTTTGGCAAGAACTCTATGATGTTAACATTGTCACCTTCAATTATAATTCCCTTGTATTTAAACATCCAATCCTTAATCATCTCCTTGACTGCTTGATTAGCCAAAAGCTCCAAAGAAGAAATATCCCAATGAATTAATGTTTTTCCAAAAGCTAATAGAAGTTTTTCTTTGTAATCCCAAAACAACCCTCCTATTCCAGCTTTATAAGAAGAAAGAAGAGTTGCATCCACATTTACCTTTAACCAATCGAGTGGAGGAGGATACCAATGCACATTGGACAATCTAGGAGACAAGTTGGCAGCCCATATACCCAAGAATTAACCAATTATGTCAGCTGATATAGAAGCAAAGCTCAATGCATTAGCTGTAATAATCAAAGAGCTGTCCTCACCAACATTATGAACCAACTTATTCCTTTACTTCCATATAAGGAACACCACACTACAGTACAAATTAACCATGAAAGGAGATTTTTTAGAAAGCCAAAATACAACAATCTATTAATGAATCAGCTCTCGAATAAGTAAATCCCCTTCTGCATAGCCGAGTTAACACATCCTTCAGCTTTTCACATCTAACAGCCACATGGTCTTCAATCTATATTTCATTATAGCCCCTTGGGCAATTTTCCTCCCTTTGTAATCTTCTATATCAAAGAAATTGAGCAGTAGGCAGTTCTTTGTTAAAAATCCTCCACCATAATGTTTCCACTTTTGGATTCAAATTGCTTTTTCTAATCCAACTCCATAATTGATGTATATCTATGTGCATTACCGACATCCCAAACACCATAGAAGAAATGGATTTTCCTATTTTTTTATATATCAATTCCATCTTATCGTCCTCCATATCAAAATTTTTTTTTACTTGAGAGATCAAGCTTACTAGATCAGTTCCCACATACTTCCTTAACTCCTCCTCATTCTAGCTACCGTTAGAAATGAAATTTGAGACAGAAAAACTACTGCTATCATTAGGGATGACAAAAGTTGGCAATTTTCAAATACTTTTATCCAATATCCTAGTGTAATTGAATACATCAATATCCTCTCCATTAGCAATATTGAATCTAATTAGAGGCCTAAGAGATTTACCTCCATCCTTGATGATTCTCCAAGATGATGAACCCGTTCTCCTTGTGTTATTATCCCAAAAATCTCCATATTTCAGATATAACACTTTATGAATTAAAGAATCTTTGTCATTCACATACTTCCAAGCTAATTTAGCTCTCAATGGTCCCACTTTGCTCGAGCAAGAGTGAAGAGCTCTACCTCCCCATTTTATTGGTAAACACATTGTTTCCCAATTGACAAAATGAATACCATGTATCCCATTTGCTTTATTACAAATGAAGCTTTTACAAATCTTGTTTACCTCTTCAAAGATACTATTCGAAACCAAAGAGTTGGTACAATGGAAAATAGTGTAAGCAAGAAAAATAGATTTAGTAAGTAAAATATTACCAGGTAAGGAAATAAAATTCCCTGCCGAAACATTAGTTATTCTTAATGCCTTCTCAATGATAAAATGAAAGTCTTCTCTTAATAATCTTCTCAATGCCAGCTTGACTCCAAGGTAAGACAACTCCTTCACTAGTGTGAACCCCATAAATCAAGATATCTTCTTCCTCCTTCAATTAACCATTTTACCAAAATTCATGCAAGATTTATTGGTATTAATCCTTTATCCTGACCATCCACCAAAGTTTTCTAGAATTTTTTGAATCCCCTTGACTGCCTTCATATTATTTTTTGAGAAGATAATCACATCATACACATATAACAAATGAGAAATTCTAGGTCTGTTTACACACAACGCACACCAATATAATCTTCTCTTTGTTTAAAAGCATTAGCAACAATTGGGAGCATAAAATAAAAAGAAATGGGAACAAGTGACATCCTTGTCTAAATCCACTCTTTCCACTTATCAAATTCAAAAGATTTCCATTAATCAAAATGAAGAATTTAGAATCCTTTACACACTCCAAAATCAGATTAGAAAAACCTGACGGAAATCGAAAATAAACCATAGCATTCTCCAATGTTTGCCATCACATCAAATAGTATGCCTGCACCATAACGATTTCAAAGGAAACAAAACCTTTGGAGGAATGAGAATTTCTGAATTTATGCATTATCTCTTGAGCTACCAATACATGGTCTGATAAGGATCTTCCTTTCATAAAAGCAGCTTGATATTCTGATATAAGTTTAGGAATAAAAGGAGACATCCTATTCATTACAATCTTTGCCACCAATTTATAAACCAAGTTGCATAATCTAATCGGTTTTAAATTAGACGGAGTCAAAGGGTTGCTTACTTTTGAAATAAGCACAATAATTGTTTCCTTCCATTTTGAATCCATAACAGCCATTTGAAAGAAATTATTGATAGCATTCCATAAGTCATATTTAGTTATCTCCCAATATGCTTTAAAGAAGGAAAATGTAATGCCATCATTACTTGGGGATATTTTGTTTCCACTAACCGTGATCATTGTTTCCATTTCTTCAATTGAGAAAGCCTTGTTTAATATATCTTCGTCTCCATCATCTAGCATTCTCTACAGGCTTGGCCAATCATCCAGCTTGCAAACTCTATTCTTCGAACTATTTTTGAAAAATTGAACCAACACTTCCTCTATTTGTTGTTGCTCCTCCATAATCTCTCCATTTTCATTTTTAATCTTAGCAATAAAATTAAAATTTCTTCTACCCAAAGCAAAGGCTTAAAAGAATTTAGAATTTTGATCTCCCTCCACCATCCACTTCACCTTAGCTCTTTGCCTCCACCAAGTATCCAGCCGAGCAAGTGTTGAATTAATCTCACACACTTTTACTTTTATAGACCAACT